CGGGGCACACGCACCCCTGGCCCGGGCGCTCTTCCGGGGGGCAGCCCCCCCCCCCCCTCCCTCGATCTCGCGGCGAGAGCACGAGCGCGCCGTCCCCCGGCGACGCGCCGCCACGCTCTTCCTTAGGTCGTCCTCCGAGATATCGGTGCCGGACCGGCGGGGCGGGGGCGGGGTGGCGTCGGAGCAAGTGTCTCGGCCTTCGGTCGACGGAGCGGCGACCCGCGAGTACGCTTCGTGGGCGCCCGACGAGGGTGGTGCTGCTGTCGCTCTGCCGCGTGCACAGGCGTGCGCAGGCGTGCCGAGGTCTCGCGACGGCACTCAGCCCTTCGCTGGGCGTGTGGGACGCCGGGTACGACGAGCACGGCTTCTGGTCCGTCGAGGCTGCCCGCGCGGCGCGCGACGCGGCGGCGGCGCTTGCGCTGGACGCCGCCGACGGCGGCGCGGGGGCGGCGCGGGGGCGGCAGGCGCGGGGGCGGCAGCCGGCCCAGCGGGTCGCGGCCCTCCGCCCCCGCGGCGTCGTTGGAGGGCGAGCACCTCGAGTACCTACGGCGGCGGGGTGCGCCGTGGGGCGAGCCGCCCGTCGCGGGCGCCGCCGCGCCGCCGGAAGGGGCGAGGCGGCGAGCGAGGATCGTCGACTTTTGGCCGGGGGGCGCTCTCGACACTTACCGGCTGAGGTCACGTCGTCGGGCGCGTCGACGGGCTGGTTGGCCATGGTCCGCACGGCGGGGCGGCTGCGCCGCCAGGACTCGCGCGTCGCTGCACGCGGCCTGCAGAAGGAATGACAGCTCGGCGGCAAGGCTTTTCTTGCGCCGGGACGGCTAGGCTTTTTGTGAGACGCCGCTCGCGGAAATCGAGGAAGGCTTGGACTTTTCTTTTCTTGGGAAACGGGAGTGTTGGTTTAGAAGAGGCTGGCCAGCGACTGGACACACCGGCATGGGGGGACGCAAGCAAGGACGGGGATTGGAGGTTGTAGAGAGATTTAACTTTTAAGCACAGCTCGAGGCGAAATAAAATTAGAAAGAAATGCCCTCCCTCTCTCTCTCTCTCTCTCTCTCTCTCTCTCTCTCTCTCTCTCTCTCTCTCTCTCTCTAAACCGTCTCACTCAAAATCTCTCTCTTTCTATCTCGGCGCTCTCTCTCTCTCTCTCTCTCTCTCTCTCTCTCTCTCTCTCTCTGTCTCTCTCTCTCTCATGTCTCAAAATCTCTCTCTCAGAAGCGGAGCACACACGAAGATCGAAGTCGGCACAACAAAAATCCCCTTTGCAGCCAAGCCTACAGGGCACCTAATTTTTTGGCGATTTCATTCGCATATGCCGAAATGTTAGTTTCGATCTAGTCCTCACGGACACAAAACAGAGGCCTCCTAGCACGGAGAAGCGACTAAGAGTCGCCGACGTGCGAATGAAATCGCCGAAAAATACGCCCGGAATCACAATTGATCCCGTCGACAAGGCGCCCCAATCGCGGAGGTCTGGCGCGGGCGTGGAGGCGAGCATCGACGCCTCGACGGTTGCTCTTCAGAGGCCGTAAACAGGCGCCTGAAAAAGGAGAGAACGCGAGACTGATCACGCGCGCGGAAAAGCCCGAGGGGCGAATCTAAAGTGCCGAGGCGCTTGCTAATCACCCCAGCTAGGGCCACGGAGGCGCTCGCGGCAGGTCTCCGCGCGCGCGCTGGCCGGTGGCAGCTGATCTCGGGCGGCGGGCGGCGGGAATGGGCTCGGGCGGCACCTTTTGCCCTCAAAAGTCGTTCGAGAGTACCGGGTCGCGGCGGGAACGCGCCCATCCGCTCGATGGGTGTCAGGAGTCGATCGCCTGCGCCAGGAGCGAGCACGGGAGTCGTCGCGATGGGAGTCGTAGCGGCGTGGCGCTCGGCTTCGAGAGAGCGACGTGGGCGCGGCGGCGCGGGCGGCCGGTGGGGCGCGTGAGGTCCGCACCTTCGCGACGGGCAGGCTCGATACGGCCGCTGGCCGGGGCGGCCGCTCGACCGGCCGCCGCGGTCGTTCCGGCGGCGGCGTCGGCGTCGGCGTCGCGAGCGAACTGGCTCGCATTCGACGAGCGACCCTCTTCACAGAACCCGGACTGCCACCTTGGATCTTCTTGCGAGGCGA